AATAATAATAATAATAATAATAATAATTTTCTGTATCATTATTCCTCTCACAGTCCTGTTAAAATGAACTTACTTCAAATATAAATCGTGGCTGAAAATGCTGTGGAAAGTTCTCTTCTATGTAGAGGAACGAAGGCTTACACCTCCCTTTGCCCAAACCATTAATTTTTCAGGCCTAATTCAGCACAAAGCAGCACTTTCACCCATGGCTGCGTGGCGTGTACATCAGAGGCACGTCAACACGCATAAGTCACATATTAAACTCACAGGTCAAAGCGAAGATTCTGCCTCTCTTCAAAGAAATAGTCCAGGATGAATTTGCGCACAAAGTCAGGGTTCAGGGTGTTGTCTATGACTTCTGTCCGCCCAAACTGGAAAACAAGGAAAACAAATAAGGTTTTAGAATTCTTCACATGGATTGTTTGCCAACTTTGTAGATGGTCTTAAAACATCAAGGTATTCCTGATAGAATTTGACACATCTGAGATTTTCAACTTAGATTAAATGTGCTCTATCAAAATGGCGTATTCTTTTATCCGCAATTTGTCTTAAGAAAATGTATCGATGCTTTTAATGTTCATTACATGTGAAATGGTAATTGACAAAAAAAGATCACACAAATTATCATATTTCTAACTGGAAAAATCACGTGGCAAAGCTGGGTAGGTGTATAATTTATATATTCTTGCATATTATTTATTCATGTCGTACTGAGTTCGAGTGTGTGTAAAGGTGCGTAGCTGTCTGTCTGGTCTTAAAAATGTTCATAGTCAATGAACACATTTTAATGTAACTTTCAGAGAATAATCTTTTTTTAGACAAAAAATAGTTTTTATTGCTTTCTGATGTGTAATTACATTTGTATAATGTAATAATCATTAAATTAGTTTGGAGTGGACAACTGACTAAATACTGGAGTAAGTTTAATACACACTCTCTAGTAAAGAGAAGAGGGATCATCCAGCATGTTATCAGGGTTTACAGTAATTAAAAAGTCTGTTTCTCTGGTGTTTTAGGGGTGCATTATAATACATATGGCATGAACAGCTTACACATCTGGAAAGCTGCCATTAACACAGAAAAGTATACTCAGGCTCTACAACATGTACTCTATTACCTTTTTTTAAGTTGTTCATTTTCTTAGTTTAAACATTTATTATGCTTACTATGCTTGATTGTGAATAAAATGTTGGTTTACAGTGTTTTTAGAATTAAGGTGGCACACTAAGATGAGCTATTTGATTTGGTCTCTTCAGAAGTGGCAAGGAAATGTGATTAAAAAAACCTTTTAAAGTGCCTGTGACATGCATATCATTCAAATACAAAAACTCAAAGAAAACAACTTTATATTTAAGAATCTTGGCATGATGCACATGATTTAACCATTTTGTCACATAACTGGCCTGTTTTCTTTAGGATTTGACTCAGCCAAAGTGAAACAGGAAGTGACATCAAAGGGGAACTCATTAGTAAAATAAACTCTCTTGTCATTGTTAATTAAAGCAGTATCATTTAAACTTTAACTCTTCATCATTTGTGTTTGATAGTGACTCAAAATAATTTAAAGAACCACCAGATTCTTCTCTACAGCCTGTGTTTTCAGCTGTTGTAACAATGCGCTGTTCACATGCAGACATTCCCCTTTGACATCACTTCCTGTTTCTTCACATGCAAATATTTCAACAACTGTTCATCTCATGGGCATGAAATTTATTTTACAATATGCTATCAATGTTATGTTTTTAAAAATGCATTCAGATATATTACAAAAATTTCATGTCACAGGCACTTTAAGACCATATAATTAAACAAACAAAAATTAATCCAGAATGTTGCCATGTTGTTATGTTGCCAGGTTTGGCACAAGACAAATGAGCAAAAAAAAAGCAGAGTTAAACATGCTGAATTTAGACAAACCATGAATAATAATGCAAGCCTCACAAGCGAGCATTCCTAAAAAGTCATGGTGCTGCTTCAGTGCTGAAATGTTGTGTTGCTGTACTCACCTCTCTCCATTCCCTGTTGGCTATTCCTTGAGTGTACAGGACACAGACTGTTGAGAGGAGAGAAACAGGAGCTTAGATTGACTTCAAAGTATTTAACAGTATCGAAGCAACACCTAAAGGTCAGCAGAGTGAGCTCTTTATGAGGAGAGAAAAACTTCCAAACAAAATTTTAACCAAACCACCTCACAGCACTGTGATATTTCAGAGGAGGGGGGGAGTGTGGGGTGGTATTTGAAAAGGACTAGTGAGTGTTTGAAGGAGTCCTGAAGTGTTTCTCGAGGATGGACCATGAGTGAAAACAGAGCAATGCAATCGGCTGGCACTAATGTGACATTTCATTTGCATACCAGCAGCCTTTACTGTATTCACACACACACACACACACACACACACACACACAC